ATTTTGAATCTATTTTGGAATAAAAGAATATGAGTAATGTAGGCCCAGTATTCTTTTTTAAAATATTTTATAAAGGAAATTTGTATTTAGCTCATTCAAAAAACATTGACAAAATAAATTTTATTTCACAAAAGACTAAACATTTTGCATACTAGTCAGATCTTTCTTTTAGGCAAAGTGCTCTTTTGGTGACAAATAAATTAACAAATACACACTATTGAGAACTATTTCACACAGTACAAAAATGATTTTGCTTTGTTTTTCTCTTGTAAACAAAAGTTTATCATTAATATTTTTTTATTTTTCCTTTTCTTTTTTTTTTTTTTTTTTGGTCCCACATCCACCATCCACCAGTGTAAACCTAGTATATGGGACTGTAGTACCACGGTCTTCAGAAATTCTGCTGGTTTACATAAATTATGATCTTCTGAGGGTTAATAAATTCACCATAATCCACCATGTTTTATTTATTTTAACTGTCTTCAACTTTGTTGTCCATTTCATTATATAATCTGCTTTACATTTTTCCATTTGTCTAAAAACTTTATCTACATATTTCTAGGGTGTATTCATTTATAAGATAATTATAATAATGATAGTTTATCATTCATTCTTTCACTCATTTTTTTAATAAGTTTTGAGTCTGACCCCAAAATTTCAACACATTTTTATTCAGCATCCATAGGTGTCAGGTCCTGTTTCCTTGAAGACATTGGTGAATGAAGCAGATAAATTTCTTGCCCCATGAAATTTATATTCTAGTGAGAGAGATAATAAAAGATACTTAAAACCTACAATGGTTTATAAAGCATATGTTTTAAGTGGGCTATTGAGGAGTTTTTCCTTGACTACCATAGTTAGTCTATGCCTCATCTGGAGAAAGACTACTTCATACTGACGACTGCGTAAATCTCAAATTATTCACTGGAGAGATGAGAACTGCTTGAAAGAAGGGTACAAAGAACTCTCCCATCAAAGATAGGTATAAAAATTATGGGACACATCTGTAAATAACCCAAATAGTGTCTATTTATCAGATTTCTTTTCTGTAATCTCATTGTGATTAGATGGAATCAATCATTCAACCAACATAACAGCTTCTGTTTATGATTTTCCAATGAATATAGTTCCAGCAAACAGCAGTCTTGGGTATGGGCAACATAACTTTGTATAAACATATTCCTAACAATTCACTGATAATTGTAGGGTAATATAGTATTTGCTGCCTGGGCATGTTCTCTCCACCGAATCTATAAACAACCCTACCTCTGTGTGCCATGGAGATACCAGGACCAGTTTCATTTCCCACCCAAGGTATTCTTCAGCTGTCACATAGCAAGAGCTCCAGAAAGGTGGCCCATTTTGAAAAATCACCACAAGAATTTGAAAACAAAAAGGCAGTTCCTGGGGTTCTATTTACACAATCATAATTAAACAGATTGGCGCCATTATAAATTTATGGTTTCCAATTGCAGGCGAACTTTTGTTACTCCTCCAAATTCCTTTTGCTTGGCCTCGATATAGTAGGCTAAACAGTGACCCCTCCAAAGATGTTCATATTCTAGTCCTTAGAATCTGTGAATGTGGTACCTTACATAGTAAAAGGACTTTACAGGTGTGATTAATTTAGGGATTTCAAGATGAAGAGATTATCTGGCTTATATGGGTAGGCCCAAGTAATAACCAGGCTCCTGTAAAAGGGTGGCAAGATGAATGAGTGGCAGAAAATGAAAAGATGGAACCTGAGCATTCTTCTCCTTGACATCGGGCTCGAGGTTATAGTAGAGAATGACAAGAATACTCTCATTTAAATGTTTCATTTCTACACTAAACTTGACATTGACAGTCAAAAATCATGCCAATGAGGGAATCACAGGGACCCAAGTCGGTATGCAATATACTTCTGAGTTCTTTTCCAACTTCTGAGTAATATACCCACAATACAGGACTCGGGAAAAAAAAAAAAAAAAAAAAAGAAGAAGAAGAAGAAGAAAAAAAGAAAGAAAAAAGAAAAGGAAGAAAGGGGCCAGTAGGTGGCATGGAGTTTAAGGCATTGTATCCCACATGGCCATCCATAGTTCAAATCCCATGGTTCTAATCCCAGACCCAAAGACTTGAAAACTCACACCAGGTGCATGTGCGTGAGTAACCAAAATCCTGCGAGGAGACTGGAGGAGAAGAGATTGTAGCATGGCCATCCCCTCTGGGAGATGATTTTTCACTTCCCCTCTCTCTCCTTCTCTCTCTCTGGTGAGGGCATGTGCCCTGCAACAAAAACAAAACAGAACAAAAACACAAAGAAAGTAACATGTGAAAAGTTTAAAATATTAAGATAATTTTATTTTTTGCAGGAACTTTCATATAGTTTTCTTTAAAGCTATACTAATTTATACGCCCACTCAGAGTACATAAAAATTCCCCTTTCTCCACATCTTCACCAGCATTCATTATTTTTTCTTTTTGATAATAGCCATTCCCCACTGGGGGGTGCTTTCTCCCTCTCCATCTTCTCTGTGTCTCTTCTCTGTTTCTCTCTGGCAAGTGCTCACACCTCTGCCCAAGTTTTTTTTTTTTTTTTTAGTTTTTGTTTTGTTTTGTTTAAAAAAGAGTAGACTCTCCCTTTTTGTGTGTGTGAAAAACCAGAGTGTGCTGACTCAAGTACACTGAATTTCTCTCACTGTTCATTTCAGTGTTGAGAAGGAATTGACAATAGAATCATAGACTATCCTGTAAAAGTCTGTTACAATGCCAGCTAGGAGACAACCCCTGAGAGGGTAAAGTGCAATAAAATAAGATTCAATATGTTTTTAAATGGTAGTCAATATATGAGGACATCTTCACAATCATCAGAATACAAAGGTTGGCAAACCAAAGGATACAGGTGAAGTGGCTCCTTACTAAATTAAACCAAGTAACCTGAGGAATTTTTGCCACCCATCTCTATATTCCTGAGCTTGGTTGATATAGAGTTTCTAGTGCTAAAAAAAAAGAAATGTCTTTACCATTATCCTAATGAATTGGAAGCTGAGTTCTAATGAATTGGAAGCTGAACCCGCTGTTACCAGGATCCTTGTATTATTAAACTATTAGTCAGACAAACGAAGTCACTATATTGTCTGAAGTCATTGATCCTATTTCCAAGCACAACCTGGTTTACTGATATACATTAAGGACAAGGATAATTGGATTTGGAACTCAGAAGATCCACTATGATATCTTTTCTTTAAAACATAACCCCAGTCAGAGGGACTGCAGAAATCTAATAAAAAAAGAATCATTAAGGACTCAAATATTATGTGTAAGAGGTTTTAAGTACCACAACAAAGAACTCCAACAAGCTGAGGTTAAGGCAGGAAAGAAGAAATCTATAAAAAAATGAACATATGAAGCCATAATTATCTATTTAGCTGTGGTGTGAGATCAAGAACTACAGCGGTTTATAGCAGATGTTTCCTGCTAAATAATTGTTTCTTTTGTCTTTTCTTCTCCTAACTTCCTTACATAAATAATCCTGATGGAC